TACACTTGCAGGCACCCCCTAATACACTCTGGCAGCTACACATTCATACACTCTCAGACGATTATACACTTTGAGTACATGAATGGAACTACAACACACACACACACACACACACACACACACACACATACACATACACACGCGCACACACACCTAGTCATATTCATGCACCCATATCATTATAGTGCTACACTTGTAGTTACTCATACATATACATTATACACACGCATACACTCACAATTACTTCCATCCATCCATCCCTTCCGTGTACTTTAAAGCCAGGATCAACAGTTCAACGTGGAAATAGTTCAACTCTTAACTAGAAGGCGAGACATGAAGAGCTAAACCTCACTCCTCTGCAGTTACTGATAGGTGAGCACCCCTCCTTACCTTATCACGCCAACCCGTTCTTATGAGTATGAGGTATGTAGGCGCCTGGAGCTTTGCTATCACTTTATTACCTCTCGTGTTATTGATGATATCATAATACATCTAAAGTTTGTCAGTGATCACATGGTCTTGTATGACTAACCATCAAGCGAGAGGGTTGGTAATACACACACTGTAACTCTTCATTTATATATATATATATATATATATATATATATATATATATATATATATATATATATATTAATTGTTCTACCTTCACAGAACCCTACATCCACAGTGAGACCATCCCGGACAGGCCCCCATATAACTTGTGACGGTAACGCGTTGGTGTTCGGCTGTTTAAGGCTAGGGGTATGGCCTCGTCACATAGTTATAAAAAAAAATAGAAAACTGGAACTTCGTCTGTGGTAAGGTAAGGAGAAGACACACAAAACACAAGTAAACTTTAACAATGAAATTTTAATTACGTTAAATAAATCAAAACATGAAAATAATGCACAAACAAATATGTATAATAAAATCAATGAATCAAAATAATAAGAATACTTAAATGACACAATGAAAGTTACGTTAAGGCAAAATAAGAAGTGCAACACAAAAGTTAAGTGGGAGGTGCTGGAATATTGGCTTAAAGCCACCACCTCTCTCAGTACACGCTAACGTCTAGCTGGGAGGAGTGCTGGCTACGAAAGCACGGAACATTCTGAAGACTGATGTTGGGGCGACCCCAGACATTAGGTAGTATTGGGGGGGGCGAGGCAGGTGCAGCCAGACCGGCGACCAATCAGCGGAGCCGTAGCGATCAACGGGTAGTTTGGTGGTTGGAGTTCGAACAGGTGGCTGGTTGCATACGTTTTGCTCACCCTGGCAAGCCTTGCTGGTGTTGTTGTCGTTGTTGGACATTTCTTCCATAGTCGTATTATATAATTGTGACGACGTAATTATGAAGGGAAGAGCAGGCTCAATCTCTTGAAGGAGATTATCGTCACAATATATATATATATATATATATAATATATATATATAATATGACAATGTCAGACCACGGAGGAAAAATTAAACAGGAATTTCCTTAAGTACTTTTATACCCTATCACTCGATCTGTAAAATGACCTTCTGAAGATGTATTTAATATACGAAAGTACTTAAGGAAATTCCTGTTTCATTTTTCCTCCGTGGTCTGACATTGTCACATTCTTAATCACGTGTTTATTTTCGTGATATACACACACACACACACACATATATATATATATATATATATAATATAAATATATATATATATATATATATATATATATATAATATATATATATTAGTACATAACTATGACAAAAATAAATTGATATAAAATGTAATTTTAAACTTGTAGTTAATACCAACTCATGAAGATGCTGAAAAAATTGTGTAGTAGACATTGATGTTTTACTGTCTTAATATCTTAATATGTATTAATACCCCCCCCCCCTTAATATCTTAACTATTTAAACAAAGCACAAATTCGTCTAGAGGTTGTATGTTCCCAAGGTTGTAACATACTTTGTAGTGGGTATCTTTGAGCTCTGGTTGTTATCGGTCTGGAGTGGCCTCTCCAGGGAGCAAAGCTAATCTGGATTTGATTAGTACATTAGTGGGGAGCCGGTCGGCCGAGTGGACAGCACGCTGGACTTGTTATCCTGGGTTCAATCCTGGGCGCCGGCGAGAAACAATGGGCAGATTTGTTTTTTCACCCTATGCCCCTCTTACCTAGCAGTAAAATAGGTACCTGGGTGTTAGTCGGCTGTAACGGGCTGCTTCCTGGGGGTGGAGGCCTGGTCGAGGACCGGGCCTCGGGGACACTAAAGCCCCGAAATCATCTCAAGATCTCAAGTACATCTTCACAATATGAGGCGTACTCATTTGTACTCTGGTACGATTGCGGGGCATCCGTAGCCTCAGCGAAGAAATTTAAAACGCATTCCGGAAAAAAACTAACTCTTGTCGTTTGTTAACTCGTAGAGACGGAGACAGTTACTGACCCGAATTTAGAGGAATGTTTGTAGAGTTGCAGGGTAACCTCTGCTAAGTTCCTTACGTGAATGAAATGAATGCTGTTGAATACTGCTTTCAAGGGCGCGCTGCTTTAGCTTCCCAGACGACTAGACAGACAGACAGAGACAGAGAGACAGGGAGGGAGAGACAGACAGGAGGGGTAAGAGGGGATATATTTATATTCCACCAAGCCCTGCATTAACCATTACACCTTCGACGACGTCTGCATAGGTTAGCGAAACAGGCTGGGTGGTGGTGGAGGAGGCGGCTTCTGATGCACCTCCCTCTTGCGTAACACGGCTATTGAGCAAGATACCTGTTATTGCCTCACATGAGGACCTTCCTTTTATGCAAATCTTGCAATCGCACACACACACACATTTGCCTACATATCTTAAAATAGCCCACATATGTCAACATATCTTCAAATCTCGGGTTTGTGAAGCACTCCAGTATAAGCAGGAGGAAGCCTAGTGATATTGAGTGGACTGTTGCAAGCGCCTACCTGTATGTTAGCTTGCAATGCGTTGCGTCCAAGCGTAGCTGCGTACGCAGGTTTATATTTAAGTGTTGCGTGAGGTGGTGGTATAATTAAGTGGTAAAAGGTGAAGAAGGTTGTCTAAGGTTTTTAAGAGACGGTGTATTGAACCTTCGTGCAAGCTCCTTACGTGCGTGGGAGGTCCTTCACGAAACTATGTTACCTGTAGGTAAATAGTTTCTGCAGTGGTAAGGCTGTGGGGGGGGGGAGGGGGGATGTCATGTTGCGGGACTGAGTGTGTGTCATGCAACAGTGTCAAGAGGCCACTTAGGACGTGTCACGTCCACCTGTCACTTAGGAAAGGGAGAGGTAATCACCTCCCGAATTTCCAGCAGATGCGACCATAGGTACCACTACCGCACACAAGATGGGTATGGGGTGCATAATAAATGAACTAAGGTACGCTTGTCCTACGGGTATGTTGCATAAGGAGTTGCATGCAGCCTGAAGCGATGATGTAACACATACTAAAGGCAGTTAAACTTTTTTAACATTTGTAATGCACTCCATGCCCATCCTGCGAGCGTTAGTGAATATCAGAGTTTAATTATCATGGGGAAAGCGCCAAGCCATTACGACTATATAGCACTGGGAAGGGGCCAGGATATGGATTTTGGGAAGGGAAGGAATGGTGCCCAACCACTTGGACGCTCGGGGATTGAACGCCGACCTGCATGAAGGGAGACAGTCGCTCTACCTTTCCACCCCCAAATGTTTGGGATTGCAAAGTCTCTTGCTTATACTGAAAAAATGTAAATATTTTACATGTCAAGGCTTTCACCTCGATAGAATATGCTATACTTTTTGCATCCAAATGTGTTCACGCCTCAGTAAAAACTTGACGTCTTAAACGTAACTGACTCTCATTCTTAGATATTTATAACGCCACTGGTTAGGGGTTGCAACTTGCTTGCTTGTATCTAGTAATGAATGAAATCGGGACCCGTTTTGTACTGATTGCATCTCTTACTCAAGCAGTTTCAACATTTTAAACCTGAATCACGTAGAGAACTGTCAAAGCTATTCTGTTTATCAGTATATTGCCACGCAAGAGGAGCAACATAGCTATGGTTCCCCCAATATCAGAAATCTTTTTTCGTAGTGCTCACTAAAGCCTAGCCTCTGGTTAGGCTTTGAATATCTCTGAATACACCGCCAATGCTGCTCTGACAGAGTAGACTCTGATAGCAGACTTTTTCGCAAGACTTTCATCATTATCTTCTTAAATACAAAATAATTGAAGAATTGAGAGAATTGTATGGCTGTTGTTCAAGAAATGTTAATTGCCATGCCCATAATGAACAGTTATATGAAAGCTTAGCCAAATATCCAAATGAGAATATGAAATTCAATACAACTTTTTACAAAGCTGGAAATAAGTGTGTGTGTGTGGTCTTGTGCCTAAGACTATTATGTAACCCGGTTACTACGCGTGAATCTTAGAAACGTTACTACAGCCTTAAAGCTGCAGTTTGTTTACAACTGGGCATGAATGAAGCGGTGCTGGTTATGGCATTCCAGCTTAACTCCCCCTTCCGGCCCGTGAACGATGCCTTGGGGGACACTCTTGTGTTTTGAGAGTAGTGTGCGTGCTAGGTAAGCCCCGTGTTAGTGCGTGCATGTGAGTGGAGGTTGTGTGGAGTGCAGGCCAGCAGGTGGAAGGAGTGACTGTGGTGGTAGTGTGGTTGGGGTGTGGGGGCGGAGCATGAGGCTGCCGGCCAGCGCCATATCTCCTCTCCAACATAATCAACAATTTAACCTTTTTTTACTCTCGTTGTGTTCATTGTATATGATACTGTGTCTTCCAGCAGCGGGGAAATTATATTGTGGTTTGTGTGGGACTGGAGTGTGTAATTCCTCATTGCAGGATGGCTTAAATATGTTAAGTGAGCACGCTTGCGAGAGTAGGCGGTCGGGTGTGTGTGTGTGTACGTGTGTGTCGGAATGTGTATGTGTGTGTGCGTACGTTTGTGAGTTGCCGTGTGTTGCACATGTTGCATGATCAATACAGCCACAGAGAGTTGAGGATGGCTGCTGCGGGCATGGTGTAGTGTGTTTAGCGGGTGGCGGTGTGACAGGATAGCGGGCCGCGTTGCATTGTAGAACTAGGTGTGAAGGGATGAAGACCTCTCTCTCCCTCCCTCTCTCTTCCCCTCTCGTGGGTGTGTCAGCTGTCTTAGCGGTCAACCTACAAGAGTGCTACCTCATCTTCTCCGCTCCTCTACAGTGTTCCAACCTGCAACTGAGCACGGCGAAGCTTGCCACACTGTCAGGGGGCCCCTGTGGTACTCTCTGAAAGCGTGTAACAGTTCTGTCATACGGCCGGAAATCCCTATCAAGTGCTTATCGCCCTTCAGTGTGGAGGGAACTGTGTGTGTGTGTGTAGAGTAGTCGGGCCAACTCTGCCAGTTTGCTCAATTGCAAAACTGACTAATGTCAAGTGTACGAACTGTGGTTTAGTGTTGAACATTTGAACAAACTGTGTTGACTAGACCCCTCTTCTTAAAAAAAAAAATATATATATAAAAAGAGGCGAATTCGCACTCGTGATGAAACTATTGAGTAGCCTCAGTGACGGATGCTTGAGGCTATAATTCACTAGTTTTCCCCCACTAACAGTTTGTGAAAACTACCACACAAACGTTGTTTGCCACTTTTCTGTGCAGTTCCTTAAAGTGGTTTCAGATGAATTTAGTTAGAAGGCCGAAACCTTACTACATGTTGACATGTTCCGCGAGTTGGACTAGCAACAACTCACAGACGTTTGGCCCTCTGCTGACTTTTGGAGCCCCGCGACGTGAATGGTTGGGACCTCGATGTCCAGGACCACTACCTCAATGATCGCCCCCCAAAGAGGACTGTATGACGACGGCTCAACACAAGCGGTGTGTCGTTGGGATATCATCACCTAGTGGCACGCGCTGCTGCAGAGGACAGTTGTTAGAGCAGCTGCTGTAGAGGACAGTTGGCTAGATTAAGCAGCTGCAACTGTTGCATTTCCTCTGATGTTCGTGGCAGTGTTGGCTGCAATGTTTTGTTAGCTTTATAACGCAGGATTTGGCGTTTTACCTCAACTATTGACCTCAACTACAAACCTCAAACATTCGACTGATACTGGTATTTACATAGTCTAATGTATATTTAACTGAAGATTATATTGACAAAGCTGCTTTCAGCATCTGGTGGTGTATGGATATAAAAGTCTATATGAATATAGACTTATAATAAATGTATATGAAGAGAGACTATATTGCTTTGATGGAGAAAGAAAATATTACATTGAAGTCGAGAAGAAACAGAACTACGTTCCACCACGGGACGAAGAGGATAAGAAACCCTATACAATAAGAAAACAAGAATATACCTTCAGATAGGGAGAGGAGGGAGGACGCGTGCCCTTAAGAAGAGAAGGAAGAAGCAGGAGAATCTGCCCCAGGACCCATGGTCCGACTCTTGCTGCTCACTCGTAAAATGAAGGAAACTTTTATCATTAAAGGTAAGTAATACTCTAGGTATGCTGCCTGGGTAACAGCTTCTCCCCGAATCAACCTACCCTTAGCGTCCTGGTGAGGCCACTCCAGACCATGCAGGCCGACACCAGGGCGCAACTCCATAGTCTCCTGAGGCTGATGGATGCCTACTACTACTCCAGGTGAAAATTGTAAGAGGGGGAAATATGCAACAAAAGTGGAGCCAAGGCTTGAGTAGGAACATAAAAGATGCTGGGTGTGATGGTTCTTGAGAAGGTTAATGAAGTCTTAGCCCGTACGTGGGACTCAAGAGGTCTTCAGGTAAAGTAAGGTGGACAATTTGAGACCAACACTAATAGTTCAAATCGATGATTTTATTATTTAAAGCACTATGGGGTCCTCTCCCACAGGGAATGATTTTTCTGTTCGTATCCTCTCTCGAGGAATGGACATATAGACAGAGACGACATGTAGACAGGTATACCTCACTTCTCGGTGTACATGCACTGTGAGTTTAATTTAGTCCTGGATTATGGTCAATACAAAAGTAAATTAACTTACTGGTTGGTCAGTAGCCTAATGTGGCGGTCTTAAAAATAATAACTCTCGCTGTTAGGTCTGAAGCCTAGCACCAAACTGAATCTTCCAAGGCAGATGAAATAGACAAACTGTTTACAGTAATTTCTTCGCGTATAAATGCAGTAAAGCGTGCACACAGCTGTGACTGTTTTAAAGGACTTAGAATGTACTCTCTGGACGTTAGTGGTATCAGAATCTTTACATGGGAACTACCGAAGCGTTGGCAGATATGCGCTGGGTGAACTAACCACGATTAGAAAGCACTGTGAAAGCACCATCACAGGTAAACTACTCTGAACTTTACACCAGTTAACTTAAGACACTTTTTTTTTTTAGTAACGAAGGTTATGACTATGTGGGCCTATGGACTGCTAACATTAATAGACTCGCTGATTTGAGATATTTGCGCTGCAAAAGTAGAACTCTCGAAGTCGCATACAGGTATAACCACGGTCATGGGAAGGGATGGAGGGGGGTTGTGTCCCAAGCCCTCGTGTCATTCAACGGTGTCATACGCCTTCGGATCATTAAGTGGTGTCGTAATGTGGAGATTATGTGAGGGGGAGAGAGAGAGGGGGCGGGGGGAGCGGAGAAGAGGAGGGGGCGGGGATGAGGAGAGGGGGGGGAGGGGAGGTGGCAGATGTATTGTATCGTCTCCCCAAAAGGTGGTTCGCGGCCACAATCGCAACAGTAATCGGTAATCAAACAAAAAAAATCAAGATGGCCATACCTGTCAATCCGGAGGCCGTTATACCCGGCGTTGCTCGGGTGCCACATCATCACTGTAGATCTTCATCACCGTAACCATCTTCACTGTACACCTTCCCCTCTCCTTCGGGGGGGCTCTAGACCAAGCCCTTCACCATCTTCTCTACCACTCGCCATCTTCCTTTCCCTTCACAGCATCGACTCTTCACTTTTCCTTCACTGTTATCCTGGTGAAGATGGAGTCTTATTTTGTGAGATTGGAAATTAGTGTGATCAGCCATTTCCTGCAAAAGTGGGGCTCTACCCTCGACCCCGCCTATGACCATCCCCGGACAAAGTCCAGTCACCCTGCAAAGTTTGGTGAGGCTAGCCACGCGCGTCAGTCCTCAGACCTCGAACACAGATACAGCATTTTTTTTTTTTTTATCTAATGACGCCTCTTAACTCTCAAATTGATATTAAATACATATATATTCAGCTGTACATATAGTTAGACTTACAACGCGACTCCCAAATCTACCCACCAAAATAATAATAATAATGAAGGCGAAAAAATAACGTAAAAAATGGCCTCCTAAACCGTTGATGAAGCGGTCAAGCACCATTAATGAAGCGGTCAAGCACCATTGATGAAGCGGTCAAGCACCAGGGCCAACCCGTCACTCCTCTCACTGTAGGGACTCCTAGGCCTCAAGCTCCTCTTCCATACACCCTTCTCCACTCTCCCACTTGGGAGAGTGGAGTATGACGTCTTGGCTTCATATAAGTTGCCTTACAAGGACACCATGCTAAACCACCACTTATAAGCACTAACTTTCCTATTACAAACCAACTTGTGTATCAGAATAAGATTACTAACTCATCCCAAGAGGTTGGGATCCCCTACAAGACCCCTATTTCTACCTTATATATCCTTATTTAGGATTTCCTGTCACATAATCCTACCTCCTCCTTGCTCCAAGGAGGAGCCAGGACTCCACTTTGGAGCATAGGAAACAGACTCATGGTGAGTGTGATGTTGGGAGTGCTAGGGGGAGTGGGTGGTTAGATCATTAGGCTATATAAACACCAGAGAAGCAGTATAATTATCTATTTTGAGTTCCCTGTATAATTTGTATTCTCTATGCCATGCCTCTAAAGGAATATAGGATGTCATACTAGCCTAGGGATTAATTAATTTGCATTTATTAGATCAAGTTTACTGTTAATTATTCTCCATGTGTATTTTATATGTTGCCCATTAATTAATTCTGAGTTATAGATTTTGAAGTGCCTTGGACATCACCTGTGAGCGTATGAGTATTTTTATGAGTCAATATATTCCCCCTTTGTATTCATCAAGTTAATTTAAAAGGAATGCCAATTATCCAGTAAGTATAAAAAAAAAAAAACTTAAGTTCAGTCACACTGGGGATTAGTTGACTGGTTTCCTCCCGAGTCAGCATTATTTGTTTGAGTAACCTGATTTTCCATCTAGTCTGAAAGAATTGTAAAAAGTACTTTTAACATCTTGGTCATTTCTCCTCACCTCCCCCCCCCCTGATAACTGGTTTGAGCATTTGCTGCTGCAAGGGCGGACTCTTCCCAGCTCTTTGGGGGTTATGATAATGCAATTATTACAGCATACAGGGTTATGTCAATGCAATTATTACAGCATACAGGGTTATGGCAATGCAATTATTACAGCATACAGGGTTACAGTTATTAGCAACCGTTACGATGAGTGTTGCAGGTGTTACAGTGGTAACGTGTTGCTAACGCTGCAACTATAGAGGGCCAGTTGCCGCCAGCAAGAAAGGCAAGAAGCAACGCCCTTAACGACCCTTAAGGGCGTTGAGGGGTCACGCCCTTAACAGGACGGTTATAGACGGCCAGAAGCACCTCCCCAAAAGGGTGGTATAGAGGAAATCAATACGAGCCCTAAGGAGGATTCGAACCCAGATATTCGGTACTCCCAAGCACACGCCCTATAGACCACCACACCACATGGTCAAAAAAAGCAATGCAACCTGGGATTCAACTGAATCCTCTAGGGGTCCTGCGGCTTCCAGTGGAACCCAATCAGGGGTTTCACGCATTAGCCCGCTTCCCCATGCACTCTGGCTGTGGTCCAGGAGTTCCACCTCCAACGCTTCTCTTCAAATGCACAAAGAAATCCCATTAACTGATGTATCACTTGAGAAAATCGGTAGGAAAATCAGTCTCATTGTGCAGCAGCTGGTACAGAGGGCCAGTAGCCCCCCCAACAGGAGCGCCTAGCCGCCTGCAGGTAAACCAGGCCATTACCTGGCCACCTGTAGGTGTGTGGGAACCGACCTGTGAGATTTATATTTATTTAATTTATATGAATTTATATTTACGTTAATTTATATACTTCGATAGCAATTTGTATAATGATAAGTGGACTGTATTTCTGCAATAATCTCATAATCTCACAAATCGATCCTCTACACATTAGGGGGGGTTTATTAAATTAATATATATGCAGCCAATCAAACTACAGTAATAGCTACATACATTGATGAGATTCCTTATCTTATAGTACAGCAGGTTAGTCCACCAGGTATAACTAGGGTGTAGACACCAAATTATCCTCTTTGAGGTAGCTTCCATATCACCCAGTAACTGGTGCACAAATCTTGCATCCTCGTCTTGACCTGTCAAAAGTGCGCTAGCTGTGAAGCCAGATACCTATATATGACAAGTATATCAGAGAAAACAGTACATGGAACATGAAGACCTGGCTTAATTACCTTTAGTTTGAGGCTTCCATGTGATCTAACCGGGTCACCCTATATAATGACATTAATGGCCACTAATGATAAATAATGGGTTTCGGAAAGAACACTTAACTTGATTTGTTGACAGCGTGTTGACAGATGGTACACCTTTGGTATCCATAACACTACGTCCAAGTAAAATTAACAGGAGCCGAATTTGCTCCCGTGTGAGCCTCTGGTCTCGTATAACAATGGCTGTCCTCCTTCCCCACTGACGCCTGGCCTACTTTGTCCAGATTTCAGAAAGTGATAGAAGGGTCACATTTACTCTACTTTAATATTGATAATTAAGTTAATTTATATAAGATGTTTTTATGATGGTAAAGTCCAAAGACTAATGTATTTAAGAATAATTCCCAGCAGAATAGCTGGTGAATTATAATAGTATGTGATGATATCCCGTTTTCTTTAGACGGTAATTCCACTACAAGTTACGTTTTCTATGGGTAACTTGTTTATACAATACAGCTATTATCTGTATGATTATTAAATGGTGTCGGATTTTCCGACAAGGTGAACCAGACCACCTGCTGGAACGCCTGTAGCCACCTGACCACCTACAGGAACGTCTATAGCCGCCTGCAGGAACGCCTAGCCACCTGCCTAGATACCTACCGCCAACCTTGACCTCGTCGGCTTGTCTCCCACATGCTGAACACGTGTTTCCCTCAACACACTCTCCTGTCAGCCGGTAACGTCCCTAGGAAACTGTCACCGGCCAGAGTGATGGCTTGGTAATATGGCCACACTCCGCCGTCACAGTATGGGGAAGACTTCTCTCTCTCTCTCCCCCCTGACCTGCCACGTGGGAGGTTGGCCGGCATCCACAGAACAAGCCGTCTCTAAGACTGCTTCTGTCAGTAGCCTACTGTCTCTATCATCGTGCAGTCACCAGGACCGTCTCGTTAACACGCTGGTTGCATAAACTAAGACGCAGTTGGGGAGAGGGGGAGGAGGCT